TTTGTGTTGGTTTTATTCTCATGTTTGTCAGAGTGTGGTTGTGTTGTGTTTGCTTTGTTTTCTTTGTTTGTTTTTTTGGTTGGTTACTCACCAATTTGGGAGTGCTAACAAATTATAGGGTGTATAATTTGGTGTCAATCTAATTGGGATGATCTTGTTCATCATGATACTTTTTGCAATCGTCTTCTTATCAACAAAATCTCTTTTTTGTTGCTAAAAAAAAAACTCGTCTACAAAGATGAGCAATCATTTTATTTTTATTTTTTTGATCTGCAAAAAAGAAACTTTATTGATGGAATAAACAAGTACAAAGTACAAAGCAAATTACATCAATAAAGAAAATGGGAGTGCAAAAGTATCACAATAAGCTAAATCATCCCAACTAGGTTAGCATCAAAAGTCCATCCTATCATTTGTTAGCACTCCCCAAAATTGATGAGAGACCAACCAATACAACGACACAACAAAGCAGTCCAGCATCTAAGCTTCTAAACAAAGTAGTCCAGCAGCAATCAGCAGTCCAGCAGTCCAGCATTCAGCCCATTCGGCCACCCAACACAACAACACAATAGCAACAACAATTGTCACGCCCCAATTTTTAATTACTCGGAAATATTACCAAAGCCTGTAAATTTAGGTTTATTTTTTTTTTTATTACATTTACAAATATCTATTACACTTGAGTAATAGAATCACAATGATACATGTTCTCTCTCTCTCAATAAATATTACAATGACAACAATGCATGCCAATCTCCTACTGTGCTACAAATAAATAAATACAAATATAAAATTCACTTCCTTTACATCTACTATGAATTTATACGAAAAGACTCAAGAATCCCATAAATCTTCAATCAAATAATCCAAACTTCCTTCCTGTAAAAAGATAAAACAACAACGGGGTGAGCACTAATGTCCAGTAGGAATCTCATAGTTCTTAATCAATGACTAACACACAGATTATAGCGACCCCGGTCTTTTCCCTTTTGATTATTGTATCCGGACATAGGATCCGTAGATTCTGTCATTGTATAATGGTTGTTGTTGTCCCTTATTTTTTCTCATTTGGAATTATAGGATGTGTTGGGCAGGTCTATTTCAGGTTGGTTGGTGTATAATGGGTTAATTTTTAGGGCGTTACACAGATAGAAATGATCATGCATGCAAGGTGATACCATATAGTAAGATGACATTTTGTAAGTTCAAAACATTATACAGAAAGTATCTTTTCTTAAAATTTTACCCGAACCTTTAAGAAAACTCCCTGCCCTAAATGTAGTCTCTCATCATTAGGAATCCATAGATTCTCTGTGAAAACACGAACACTTAAGGAAGAACATCATCTTAAATTTATCAACTCAATTCTAAATTATTCCTCATTTCGTTTCCATTTTAATATTCCACATTTCATTTCCATTCTAATATTACACATTTCATTTCCATTTCCAATTTCGGGACTTTCACCCAGGACACTTCGGCCAACTTAGTTATAATGGAGTCAATCCACTTTCTCCTCACAAACAAACATACATATACAATGTATTTAATCACATAATCACACATGAAGTACATCCCATTTCTCCTCCCAAACAATCATACATATACAATGTATTAAAACACACAGTCATATTTAATGACAACCATTTCTCAGACTTATCATGTTATTTACTCTTCTCAACTAGCACAATACATGTAATCCAAAACATGATTTTCAGAATGAAACAAGTGCACTAAAAACATAGCACAAGAATTTCCAAAATATTTTTTCGAAACATACAGTTTAAATCCTCAAAATCCATTGCATGCGCCATAATATGCATGATTTATAAATAGTCCAGTTTGCCTAATCAACATGCAATTTCTATAACAATCATAGCTATCATCCACCGATAGCCCAAAACAAATATATCTAAACTGATAAATAAATTCCTTTAATGATACGTTTTTCCAAAATCTCATGTGGGAGTGATAATGCATATCAAGCTCCACCATCATCATTAATAATCCTCCGATTTCATATTTACAATGACAATTTCAATTATTTATATAAAATGACAATTTGATCCAATTAGGGCAAAACTCCCTTCTTATATTAACCAAAACTCAATACAACCCAACACAGCTCAACCTAATTCAACACAATCCAACATAGTCTACACAATTCAACATAATCAACACACTTTAACATAATCAATATAATTCCACATAATCACCTCAATTCAACATATTTTAACTCGACACCACTAAATATAATTCAACATAATTCAAGGTGTACTCTTAAATTTTCATTTCATCATTTCATCCCAAGGCTTATGTTATCCATATCATTAATTAATCCTTTTTCCCAAATTTCATTTCATATCATAGCATGATTTACAATATCCATAAATAAGGTTCAATCGCTAATTTTTAACATGATTTTCAAACAGTTCCAAAATTCAATTAAACTTGTATATATACAATTCAATAATGCAATTTCATGATTCTACTCTTAATTTGGGCAAACTCATTACTTATCATCATGAATCAACTTAGGATTTTCAAGAAAAATCAAGAATTTCAAGAAAAATTCAAACTTCTTACACCTTTACTTTTTATTCTAATTTTTCCATTAATTATACACCTAGGGTTCATAATCCATAATCTAAACCCAACAATAGAAACCCAACTCTTCAAATCCTAAACCCCCAATTTCCACGATATAACACTATATGCTCAAAATGTAGATTTTGCATTTATATACTCAAAATACCACAAATTTATCTATTAATGTAAGCATTGAAGGAGAACTAGGATCCCTACCTCAAGCTTGGAAGCTAAGGGTGAAGACCCATCTTCAAACTTTAATGAAATCCCCAAAATAATCAGTCAAAGTCTTGATCTTTGCTTGTTCTTCAACCTTGATGCAAAATCCATGATAGATTGTTAGTAAGAATGGATGAAATCAAAGTTTTGGAGGCTAGGTTTTCAGACATGGAGGAGGAGAGAAGAAAAGAGGATGAAAAAGTGAAGTTTTTGGGCCAAAATGTCACTTTATAATGTCTGTTAGCGACTTAGTCGCTCGAGCGAAGAAAATCTCGCTCGAGCGAGCATGCTTTTAACACAGAAACTCGAAATTCAAACAGGTGTAACTCTCTCATTCGGATTTCGTTTTAGGCCATTCTTGTGTCCAAATTGAAGCCCCGAAAATAAGCTTTCCAATGGTTCTAGCCTCACATTCAAATTCAAATTCGAAGTATAGAAGGAAAAAAGGAAAAAAGAATGATGGCTGGTCAAAAACTCAAATTCAAACTTGGGATTTTTTTATCTAATCTTACCTAAATACCTTGTTAAGGCTTCAAGCAAGGCTCCAAACATCACCCAAAGGTCCTCAATTATAATATTTAAAGTTCATTTGTCAAACCATCAATATCAAGAGTCCGACAACTGTACAAGTTTTAAGGTAACGGGCACCGCTTTGCATCAATCCAATATGAATTAAAATTCGAGTCATTACAACAATCAGCCCATTCAACAACAATCAGCATCTAGGCATCTAAATGATGAATTATTTATTTTCCTTCTCTAAAAAATTAAAAATTAAAAGAAAATTATATATTTAGGAAACAAAGTTTAAAAAACGTTGGAATGAGTAGTCTTTTTGAAATGTCCCCTAGCTTTTCTGGTTTCTTCTTTTTTTTTTATTTTTTTGAAAACACTGCTAAAAGTAAAAGATAAGTTATGTTGGCTGGAGGATTTTGCCTACAACTCTATAATCCAACATCGACTTAGGAATGAGGTTTTAAAAGTGCCTCTAAAACATGTCGATGGACATATCCTCAATATTTGAGGCATACACCACCTGAAGGCCCCTGTTTGGGAAGGAATTTAAAAAGTTGAAGTCACAACAAATTGTCAATTATGCCGGTGTTTTTCAACCGTTACCAATATTTTTGAAATGCCACTAATTCTTTATTTTCTTGTAGTGACTTATTACTAGTTGTCCAAAGAGATTCTTGAAATCACTTGAACACCTAATTTCCTTTTACACTTTTGAGGAACTTCAAGTTTATACATTGGAGATCAAAAATCATACAAATGGATAGGGTAAGGGTGTTAATTAAAGTTCATCATCCAGTTTAAACATTGATTAGAGAAGAAATTGCATATTAAAGTGAGAGTAATTCAAAGTAATTTTATTTTTATGGAAATGCAAATTAAAGCATGTAAGATCTAGGTCCCATTCCATAATTATCACTTGCACTAGACATATGCTCACTTGCACCATCATGAAAATACAATTAGCTTGTTTAGTTTAACTCGCTTTTCAAAAAATTACCTTTTTTATTTTTTGTATACTTTTTTTATTTTTAGTGAATTTTTATAATATTTTATACAATTTTTTTTTTTAATTTCTTAGATACTTAATCTAAATACACTTAAAAAATATGATATTTGTGAAAATAAACTTTAAGAAATCCATTAAATATGAAAAATTAAAAAACAAATATGAAAATTCAGTACAATTTCATATCATGAAAGAAAAATCATGAAAAACCTTTATGAAGATTCTCTATCCTTGGATTAGTTTGTAGTGTTTTATTGTATGCTATGCAATCACCCTGAATTAGTTTCATAAAACTTTTTATGATATTTATTTTACGATGCGTATAATTTTTTTTTTTTTTTAAATTGAACAGATTTTGAACTTTTTAATTATATCAAGATTAAGTAAATCTAAAGAATTTTTTTAAAGAAAAAAAAATACAAATATAAAAATACAAATTAAAAATTTTAAAAACTGTTATTAAAAACTCCAAACTAAATTATTTTTCCCCTAATTATAAATCTATTAAAAAGAGTTTGTTTAAACCATAACACAGTTAAGCCTCTACCAATTTTGTCTCACTTTGAAAATTTGCAAAGTCGGTTAAGAATTTAATGAAAGTGAGCTTGTCCGTTGAATGTATTTTCCAAACCATTCAACTGATTAATCAAAATATTTTTCTTTTTCTCATCAAACAGTAGAAAGAGATTTTATTCATGAGAAAAGAAACCATCACACAGGGGACCCATTCCCATCCTTCAAAATTACATGACATGAAAGCGAAGATATCTATCAAGATTTCGTAACGGAAAGAACAGAACATACAGTTTGTACCACAGTGAGTAAAAGCAACACAACAGCAGCCAAAAAAGAGATGAGTGCCCATGGAGTGTTGAAATAATCCTGTCTTAAGGTTGCCAACCATACGTTGCATCTCCCCTTGCAATGCTTGTTCACATCGTGATAAACTTGCTCGTAACATATCAAAGATACATAGACATTGTTGACAAGCTTGTTCAACATAGTCGAAACCACTTCATTGTCACCTAAAAGGTTACGAATAACTCCATAGTCCCTCAGTATTTGGACATCGTTTGAGGTGTTCACAAGGTTATCCATAAAATTCGCATATGCGGTGAAATAATTCATAGAAGAAGGGGGAAGATATTGCTCATAGGCAATTAAATTTCTGAAAACAAACTCTGTAGTGTCGTCAACGATTAAATTTGGGATTTCCATGGTCCCATTTACAAACCTTATGTCGAACAAATTCCTATTTATAATAACCTTCTTGAATTGGATCCCAGCTTCCCGGAGCTCAGTTGCCGACTTCATCGATTTATCTGTTACCACAACAAGTCTTTGGGATAGCGTTGAATGAAATTCATAGCACCAACAATAATGCAGTAGGCCTAGAAGATGTTTGATGTCATCTTCCTTTGGATTTTCATAAGGTAATTCAGGAAGATTACCCGGTGTTATCGCATCGAAATATTCAAGGGACAAAGTAATGATGTTTGAGTCTGAAATTTTGGTCATGTTGAACAACTTCATGAGGACAAAGAATGGTAGTTGATTTTCAAGTAACATTAAATCGCGCACTAAGTCAAGTTTCATATGACCCAAATGGAAAATGAAATTTTCCATACCTCCCAATTGTGTCATCCCTTCCGTGCAAAGTAACACAAGGATGAAGCAACTATCAAGAAGCATCATTTCCACGAACTCATTTGAATCAAGGCTACTTGGTTCTGCATAAAAATCGCGTGCTCTTTTTTCTAACTGTTGCATGGCCACAATGTATCTTTCCGCACTGGTTTCATTTCTTTGTTCCAGAAGTTGTCGTAAGATACGTAGTTTATACTCTTCCATTGGTTGCAGTTTTTTCTTACCATGGTGATAAGGACCAATAGCAACTACTTCTGGTTCATAAGCATTCTGATTTTCGTTTCGTAGTCGATCATGCACTCTGAAGATGCAACATTCAGATGGTATAGGAGACAATTGAGCAAGCTTTGCATCAATATGAATCACATGATCAGCACTTGGCTCCGACATATTCTATGTCTGTCATGGACAAATTTAAAAGAGCATGTCAAAATAATAGAAGAATTTTCATACCTTCAATTAAATCACATTGCATTTTTCAACTTAGTTTTCATTGCTATGATTTAAGATACAATTTCATAATTTAGTTTTTTAAAAGACAATAAACAATACACGAAATGATTAAAAATAAAATGTTTACAAATGAATTTTTTATCAGATTTTCGTATCATTAGACAATTAATTGGTTGGATCTGACTTCCGTAAATGCAAGAGAATTGAAAAGAAATCCACTTATAAATATAGCATTTTCCTTTCTTTTATTGTCTTTCTATGTGTCTTTCTATGTGGATTACTCTTGTAAGAACAAAATTAAAAATACAAAGACAGGACAAATTAGGTTGGTAGTCTCTCTATTTTGGCCCATGTATCATTTTAGTTCATGTAATTTTACTTGACTTGATTTTGACTTTAAATTTATAATTTTGTCTCAATTTAGTCCAATTGATTACAAATGTTAACAATTTTTAATAGAAAATACACACATAAGTGGTATGTGTCATACTTTTAGAAGCAAAAATATAAAATTAAATATTTTAGAGACTTAATACATTAAATCAGTAATTTAGAGACTAAATAAACTTTAATGTATATATTTTATGAACGAAAAAGACTCAATCAATAATTCAAGAACTAAATAAACAATTTTATGATAGTTTAAGAATAAAAACGGATAATAAACCTTATATATATTCGACAAACACTAGCACATGGATACCATATGACTTTGAAAAAATATATATATATATATATATCAAATGTATTTTTATAATATTATTATGAATTTTTCTCCCGACATCTTTCTAAATCACAAATTATCAAATAATGTTATACCGTTTTTATTTTAAAATCATAAATAACAGCAACTTCAACAATAAAATTACGTAACATTTGAATCATAAAACTTACTTGTTGAGGTTTCTTGATCAATCACTTCACTAATATCGTGTCAAATCATAAAACTTACTTGTTGAGGTTTCTTGATCAATCACTTCACTAATATCGTGTCAGCTAAAAAGAGGCTTCTTTATAATGAGAGAAGAAAAGAAGTTGACAAATTGTTGGAAGAAAACTCAATTTGTAATCGACAGCAAGCGTATTAATCACAAAAAGAAGGGGGAGAGAGACCCACATAGACAGAGAAAATAGAAAAGAACACAATATGAAAAGCAATATAAGTAAAGAAACCAAGATTTAATAAATGGCTAAATTTCACTTTATTTCCTATGTTTAATTGGAGAATTTGATGAGTGAAATGAAAAGGAAAAAAAAATGAAGGAAAATAATAACAAATTGATAGAATTCGAATTTTAAGTTATGTTTGATTGAGTTGGAAAATGGAGAACGAAAAGAGTCTAAGTTAACTCAAAAGATAAAAAAGAGATTGCATATTTCTTTCACTTTCTTTTTTCCCGTGTTTTTTATTATATAACCAAATAAAAAGTGAAATTGTGTTTTCTTTTCTCTTTTCATTTCTCTCATCAAATCATCCAATCAAATACAACCTTAAACTCCGTTTGTTTAGGATCAAATTGATAGAAAGTGAAAGAAAGACAAAAAAAATAAAAAATAATAATAATAATCTAACATTTTATAAGTTTGCTTAGCTTAAAAGTAGTGGAAAATAAAAAATAAGTTAATTTTCTTATACAATCTAAACTCTCTTTTTAATTAAAAAATTGCATTTGTTTATATATGGAGTTATTTATAATTAAAATTTCAAATTTTTATATCTTGTTCTTGTAAAATTTTCATCTAGAAAATATTCTGTTTCTTTTAAAAAATTAAAATATATTTAAGTACTTTTAAAATTAAAATATCCTTATATGTAACTAATCTCATCGTGCAAATCATACGTATTTTTATTTATTTATTTATTTTGAGGCAAAATTTACTTTAACTACATTTACTTTTTATTCCATGTGTAATTTACCCGTTAAGATTTAGAAATAAACACATAAGTCCTTATAATTTGGCATCTGTTTCAAATTTGCTGTTAAAGTACACGAAAGTAAACTTTAGTTCACAAGCTACAAAAAAAATATTTGATTATTTCTAAATGATAGGAATAGTTTGAGCATAGGCCATACAACAAAAGAATAAAGTGAAATTTACCCAAAATAAAATATATAAAAAAAAATTGCTCATATAAATAAACAAATAAAATAAATCAAAATATTTTAGATCTATTTCTCTGTCGATTTTATTTGGAAAAAATAAGCGTATGGTTTAGATTGAAAATATATTTAAAAAATTAGAGTTTAAATTGATAAAATTCAAATTTTATTTTGTTACAATGGTCAAACTCTAATTTATTTTTTTTTTTATTTTTTTTTTTTTGCAAATTTCCCAAGAGAGTCAAACTTTAGTGTAAACCCATATGGTATTGCTCTATCAACAAATTTCTTTTTTTTTTTTTCTTTTCTTTTGTTTTCTTTTCTATGACTAGAAGACAAACAAAACAAAAGAATCCATATTTTGAAAGAGAAATCATTATCGCTTGCCTAAAAAAACCACTAATTCTATACCTACAAATTAAAATCACAAGAAGTTAAGAAAACCTAATTGAAAACAAAAGAAAAGAACCCATATTTTGAAAGATAAATCAATTATGCTTGCCTCAAAAAACCACTAATTCTATACCTACAAATTAAAATTACAAGAAGTTAAGAAAACCTAATTGAAAGTAGTGGTTAGTCCAAAGAATGACAATAAAACGACAATATTATAAATTCATAATTTTTTGAAATTTTACTCAAAAATTTATCGAGAAGTATTAATTTATTATTCAGATTTATTTACAGATAGATTATATAATACAATCATTCAATTTTCACTGCACACTTTAATTCTTGACACAATTCAAGAATAAAACTTGCAGTGAAAAGGACTCAAAACAAAAGAAAAACAACAACAAAAACGGAAACGAAAAGTGAAAATTAAATAAATAAAGCATCCAAGCTTCACTTGCTAACCAAGCAAGGTAAAATAAAAGGAGCTAATTCTTAGGCCCTCCGTACTAAAAAAGAATCACCTATATGGTTTTGATTGATTTTTAAAAAATTGAATTTTTTTGGGTGAATTTCTTAAATATTTTAAATAATTTTTTTTACTTTCTAGACGCACCTAAAAAATAAAAAATAAATAAATAAATAAATAAATAAATAAATATTTGTGAAAAAATATTTAAAATTTTCAATACGAAAAAATACGTGTCATTTTTTTGATAAATCCTCTTTCTAAGTGTTTTATTTCATCTAACTCATCTTCTTTTCTAGTATTCCATTATGTCATATTTTAATATAACATGACCAAATCACCTTTCTAATTTTTTACACATGTTTCTATTTTGAAACTAATACACAATAAAAAATAACAATAGTCTCTCATTTCATGGAAAAAAAAATCTATCACTCACTCTAAGAAGAAAGTATCTCCCTCATTCCACGGAAAAAATCTCAAATTATAAATTTTGAACTTTTTTATAATGTGAATTTTTAAATTAACAAAACAATAAATCTGAACAAAAATTAAAATATAATGTGAATGTTCACAGTAAATAACAAATATACAACTAACTTTCAAAATAATAAAACACATATTAAAGTACAATGTGAATGTTCACAATAAACAACAAATATACAACTAACCTTCAAAAAAATAAAACTCATATCAAAATATATACAATATGAATATTCACAATTGACAATTAACGTACAACTAGCCTTAGAAACAATAAACTCATACCAATATAAACATTTACACTGCAACATGAAAATATAAAATAAAATTTTAAAAAGTGAAAATCAACTATTTTTATTGTTCAATTGTAACAAAAATGATTGTTTAACCAATAAGCATAGTAACAAAAATAATAAACATACAACTAATTTTTGAAAAAATAAAATTCATACGAAAATACAATATGAATGTTCACAATTTAGAATTACCATACAACTAGTCTTATAAAAAATAAACTTATACAAATGTGAATATTTACACTACAACATAAAAACATAAAATAAAAATAAAATAAAATAAAAGTGAAAAAAATTGAAAATCGACTATTTTGATTGTTCAATTGTAACAAAAATGATTATTCAACCAACAAGCATAGCAACAAAAACAATAAACATACAACTAACTTTCGAAAAAAAAATTAAAAAACTCATACCAAAATACAATGTGAATGTTCACAATTTACAGTTAATATACAACTAGCCTTAACTAAATTCATACCAATGTAAACATTTACATTGCAACATGAAAATATGAAACAAAATTGAAAAAAAAAATCGACTATTCCGATTGTTTAATGGCAACAAAAAAATGATTGTTCAAACAACAAGTATAGTAACAAATAATATACAAAAAAAGATCAAGCAATATATAAAAAATTATCAAATAGTTCATATATATTAACGCATTTTTTTAAAAAAATTTGTATATAATCAAAGCTGGTATAATACCGGTGAACAAACTACGTAGTACCGGCGGCTACATAAATCGACGAAAAGACTACATTTTATGTGTAACAGTGGCAAAAAAATCATTGTTCATCGTCGGTTTATCATCATTTCTGTTGCAAGTCCATCATCATCTGTATTATCAGTCTACAACTAACCTTCTCTTCTAAATGTTCTTCCATGGTAGGACCTTAATACAAAATAATGATGAAGGAAGATCCTTCATTAAGTGAATCTCTCACATTGAGGCAAAAAAAGTACTAAAAATAATAATCTTACGTTTTCTAAAATAATTTTTATATATATGCCACAAATAAAATATATCTAATAATTGATATTCTCTCTCTCCTAGATATATAGTATAATATATATATATTACAATAAAAGTCTATCAAGGTATAATAATCCACATAATAATTCTAATATGGGAAAAAAGACATATTGAAATATAAGTCTAAATATATGAGATTTGATGGAACATTAGAAAACTTTATGAACTTATTAGGCTATAAGTCTACTAAATGGGATTTTATAAATAAATCTCCCAAAAAATACTCACTTTTTTGTATTTTTTGAATTTTTTTTAAAAAAAATTCCATTGATATTATAATTTTTAATTATATCTATATTATATGTGCATCTAAAAAAATTTTATAAAAAGAATCTTAAAATATTATAATTTTTTACTAAAAATAAAAAAAAATTTGATTTTTTTTAAAAGTGGGCTCAATTTTCAAATATCTCTCATATTTTTTTTAATTTTGATATTTCATTTAAAGTAAATATATATATATATATATATACACACACACACATATATTAACTATACATTTTTAATTTTAGTGAATTTTTTTAAATATTTTAAATAAAATTTTTACATTCTAGACGCACATAAAAGTAAAAGAAAAATATATTTGTGAAAAACTATTTTAAAAATTGAATACAAAAATATAATTTTTTTGTATTTATTGAATTTTTTAAAGTTTTTTTCCACAATTATTTTTTTTTTGTATTTTTTTGTATTAAATGAATTCTCACATTGAATGGCCTTCCTGTTGAATATAATGCTTTTAAAACCACAATTCGAGCAAGATCTGAAGCCATCTCCATGGAAAATCTGTCATCACTGCTTTGTTCAGAGGCAATTCATGTAGAATCTGTTTCCAAACAGAATTCTACTAATCTGCATGTGGCTTATTCAACTCAAGGTTCTTCTCAGAAAAATTCTACTTCGTCTCGAAATTTGTTTGGACATTCTCAATTTAGCAGAGGCCATAAATCTGGTGGTCGATATTTCTCACGAGGAAGAAGAGGTCGAGGTTCCTATGGCTATCAACATTCCTCTGGTTCTAACAACAATGCTTCTGGTTATATTTTCAATGACAAATCTTCTGTGGTTTGTCAAATCTGCGGCAAACATAATCATGTTGCTCTCGATTGCTGGTACCGAATGGATACTTCCTATCAATCTACCAACACTAAGACTTCTCCTATTGCATCTGACTTTCAGAATACTTACCAGGATAAGGCTTACCTTGCTTCTGGTTCTTCTCCATCAGACAATTGGTTTTTAGACTCTGC